CTAACAGGTTCGGGGAGGTTGAGTGACCTGCCCCAAGGTCTCATAGGAGGTAAGTAATTGAACTAGGATTAAAGTTCATGTTTATACGGATTTTAGAACTCATAGTCTGAGTCACAGTATGAGTCCAACATGAGTTAACACTGCCACCCTTCTGGATAGGCTAGCATTCCCAAGATGGCCAGAAGCAGCTGGCCAGGATTCAGGGTGGGGCACTTGGAAAGCTGAGCTGGGCCTGAGCTGTTCCAGGCTCAGGATTGTGGGCAAGGGTCCAGGGGCAGATGGCACTACAGGGTGCAGAACATACCTGGTAAATTGCTGTCCCTGTCAGAGTGGCTGAAAGCACCAGCTTCAGGGGGAGGCGGAATCCTGCATCCCCAAAAGAAGGCACGTGATGAGCAGCACCACCCAAGTCCAGGAGCCCCCACTCCTCCCCCGGGGCCCAGGAAGAAAGTCAGGGCTCACAGGACTCTGGACCACCAAGGTCAGGCCAGGGTCTTGCCCTTGCCCTGAATCAGGAGTTGTCCCTTCTGATGACAAGGATTCTGAGGAGCAGGAGCCCTCTATTGCAGCTGTTCTGTGCAAGGGAGGGTGACATCACCTGTCACTCCAGGCCTTAGGTCCCACCCCTTACCTCTCTGTGGAGTGTAGATGTACTGCCTGAAGCAGATCCAGGCCCAGGACAGGAACCCGTGCTTGGGGGAGTGGGAGCTGTAGAAAGATGCCAGCAGGTGGTGTGGCCCTCAGAAGCCCTGCCTCACGGCAAGTCCCAAAGTCTGGTCACTCCTCATCTTTGCCTCTCCCCTGCTACCCAGTGCCACTCTCCCACACATGCCTGCTAAGTAGCCCTGTTCCCCGCCCCACCAAGGTGGGGACCTCACCTTGTCTCCAGCTTCTTCCGGCAAAGGAGGTTCCTCAGATATTCCTCAGAGTAGCGGCTCTGCAGCCCCTGTGGAGACAGACAATCAGACAAGCAGATGAGACTTGCCTGGACCCATCCCTGAGGCTCTGGCTCAGGGTCCTAGAATGTTCACCAAGTAGGTGCTCTGTAGGAGCTCTGCCAAGTGCTCTTGGCTGCGGTGGTGGTAGTGGTGGTGGGTGTGAGGCAGCTGACCTGTGGAGGTGAGATCCCTGCCCCTCAAAACTGCCTTTTTCTTTGTCACAAATACAAAGCCAGTTGGTCTCCCATGGAAAAACCCTCAGTGCTGGGAAGTTCTTCCTAAGATCAATCTCCAACTCTCTCCTGCTTTACTCAGTTGCATCTCACCACTGCTTTTCTTCTGGCCCTCAGGCCTCTGCTGGCTGAGAATGGGGTGATAGGGAGCCTATGTCCCATGGGCATGTCCGTGCCCAGGACACAGGATGGGGTCATTCCAGGTTAAACACCCAGGTCTCTCCTCCTGCAGCTACTCAAGAGAGATCACAAGGTGGCTGGATTTGTCTAAGCCACATTCCAGGCCTTAAGCTGTCCACAAAGTGACAGAGGCTTGTGGAAGGATGGGGTGAGTGCCTGCCTAGTGTCACCTATTGCCATGGCAACCCTGGGATCTAGGGCAGGAGCAGGTCAGCACAAAGCTTGATCACGTCCTTTGAGACTTAAATCTCTTTGACCAAAGTCCAAAGAAGATTTTGTTCTTCTCAAGACTTGGGAGGAAAGGTTTGCAATGGCAGGAGAGGGTGGCAGAGGAAATCCTAGAAGAGGAGGAGACTCAGCGAGGCATGATGTGTCCCCAGGAAGCTGTTCCCCTCTTCTGAGCCAGCTGTAAACATGAGGGGACTGTGATTTCTTCAGGAGACTGTGAGCACCTTGGTTATAAGTCTTCAGAAACCACATCAAAGCCAAGAGTCAATGGGCCTCCTCAATCCAGAAGTGCCTGTTGGGGACCCAGGGCTGCCCCTTGGGAACCCCTTGGACTCTTCTCTTCTCACTGTCCATCCCCCCTCAGAGTCTTACTCATTCTTCAGGTTAGGTCTGACAAAGCCCAAGTTAAGACCCAGTCCCAACCCTTCTGCTGAGCTCCAGACCTGAGGGAGGCACGTACCCATGGCCAAGCATCACCCCAAGGAGCAGGGCTCTCGCCCAGTTTTCCAGCCAGTGGCTGGCTCCACCACCTGCCTGCTGTCTCCCCTGGATGCCTCCCACCAGCCTTTCCTTCACCCACCCTGTCTGGAGAGGAGCCAAGCCCCCTGGCCTCTGTGTCCTCAGCCTTATTGAGTCCATCGTCCTTCCCCTTTGAGGGCCTCATGGGAGTTTTCCTTTTCCTCCCCTCTCCGCAGGAAGGGTTAGCCAAGCTGCCTGCACGTGTTCCGTGGCATTCAGAGCAGCCCGCGGTGTGTTTACATTGTACTGCACGTCTTTGTCCTGCATTTCCCCTGCTGTGTGTTTACACTGCACTGCAAGTCTTTGTCCAGCATTTCCCCGTGTCCCCCACCTCACCAGAACCTCCTGGAGGTCAGACACAGGTCAGCCAGCTCTAGTCCACAGCACGGAGCCCAGAGTCTGACCCAGGGTAGGTGTATGCACGACTTTTTAATGAGATTACAATATCTTTTAAGAATTCTCTCTTACTACTGTGTATTCATCTGTCCATCCACCCATTCATTCATCCGTCCACCCATCTATCTAAAAATTCAAAAATATTTGCTGAGTACTATTATGGGCTAAGACCTGTCCAGTCATGCAAACAAGACATGAACAAAAACAAAACCAAACCATCTGTCTGCCCCTTTACTGGTGCTCTTTCCTGTGCCTACCATGCCTTCCCTTTTGTTATTCCTTCCCCACTCCAGATCCTCCCTGTCCTCCAGGCCTCACTAAAGTTTACCTCCTCCAGGAAGCCTTCCAGGACCTCCCCTTTTTTTGGTATTATCCAACTATATCCACCCTGGACTTGATTCCTAATGCAGTTCTGCCTTGGTGATTCCTGCGTCATTTCAGCACGTGCAGAACTTGGATTAGGGAACCAATTCCAGGCCTGTCTCATTTCTCCATCTGGATCCTCTGTTTCAAAAACAGAGCTATGACATTCCTGTCTTCTGACCCAGTTCCCCTTTGAGTCCCTACTAGTCATGTAACATGGTGCCTTAGGTATCTTGGGCTCAAGTCAAGGGCTCAGTCCAGCCTTTGTCCGGGCAGGGAGGACTAAGTCGTCCCTCAGTAACGCAACAGACATTTTCTGAACACCTGCAATGTGCTGGGCCCCCTACCAACTATGGCTGTATACATAGGACCACAGATGGGGGGAATCTGGGGTGTCTTGGGTGCTGAGCAGGGGCCCACCCCAGCCCTGTGCCCCTTTACCTCAAAGCCTGTCCTGTGGCTGAAGCTTCTCACCAGCTGCACCGGGTACCAAAGGCTCAGGAATCCAAGACCCAGAAGGAGAGGCAGGGAGGCCAGTAGGGAGTAGTACTTGTAAATCTGGACAGACAGACACCCAAACAGACCTACCTCTGCCTTCTTCCCCCAACCAAGAACCAGTCATCCATTTCCCTTCCCACCTCACACTGGGGCCCTGAGGATGGTTTGGGCAGGGCCCTGGGAAGCCTTCTGGATCTTTGTTCCCCAACTCTGCCACCCTGCTCACTTCCCCCTTTCAGGCCCTGCAGAGGTGCTCACCCCTTCTGGACTCCTGCAGACCTGAGACGAGAGAGGAGTCCACCAGATACCCTCCTGCCCACCCCAGGCCACTGGAATGAAGCTGGAACAGAGGACACCCATTTTCCCTGGCCTTACGTTTTTGTAGTATTAGCACACAGGCTCCTGCAAATCAGGCAAAAGCCTTATTTTGCCCACATACAGTATGCAAGCTGGGCAACAGGGAAGCACAGCCCTACTTCCAAGGACCAAGATCTTCCTGGAGTCAGGCCCCTTATGTTACATATTCATTCATTTATTTGTTAACCCAGCATGTTCCTCCTTATTACAAGTTTATCACATGCCAGGTTCCAGGTGATGAAAAAGACCCACCAAATCCACCATCTCAGAGCAACCATCTAATCTTTACCTCTACCTGAGGGATGGGTGGTATTATCACCTCCAGTCACAGTTGGGGAAACTGAGTCTCAGGTGACATTGTTTCCTCAAGGCACTGCACCACCTGGAGTCATTTTGTTTATCATGTTTCCCCAAGGATTTTGTTTATCTTTTTCATGGCAGTAGTCCAGTGCCCAGAAACGTCTCTGGTACAAAGTGTATGCTTCAGTGTGTTTGTTGAATGAATGAATGGATGAGTGAATGAATGAAGTCGTAAAGCAAGGCTCACACTTGGTTATCTAGCTCCAAAGTCTGTACCACCATTCCTTGGATCTAGATAGGGCAGCTTCACACCCCACCCAGCAGCCAGTGAACTAGATTCTGAGGTTCTAGAATTCTCCTTTTGGCCCTCTGTGAGACCATCCCCCACCTCAGCACTAACATCCCCACTCCAGCCTGACCAAAGGCAGCCTGGGGAATCACTAATGGGGTCTTCAGGTTTCCTCTTCCTCTTGCTCTGCCCATGCTGCCCTTCTTATTCCTTTCTAGACTGGAAGCTCCTGAGGGCAGGGCCCAGCTGCTTGTACCCTGCTCCTCCCACAGAGAAGCTGAGCTTGGAACAGGCCTGTGTGTGAAGGGGTGGAATCCCATGTGAAAGGAGCCAGGGAAGCCTCAGACATAAGAACAGACTTTGTGCCCCTCTGCCCTTGGCCATTGTGAGTCAGTGGTTACCTGGGGTGCCTGGGGACACTCTGCCCTCTGCCAGATCTGGACTACCAGGTGGGCCCAGGACAGTATGCTGCCAAGCAGGTATGCAGCTCTGTGGCCAGTCGAGGCACAGGAGGCCAGGGGGTAGTAGAGGGCAGCGTAATAGAGCAGGCCCAGCATCTTCTGGGGCCCTGGAAGGTGAAACAAGCAGAGGCCCAAGCTGGGAGGACAGAAGTGAGGCCTGGCATGAGCCCACCCAAGTCTTTCTCCCATCTCCAGCTTCTAAGCCCCTCAGCAAGTTCAGTAAGCAAGATCTCTGGGTTCAAATCCAGGCTTTGACTAGTATCAGCTCTGCGAGCAAGTTACCTCTTGGAGTCTCAGTGTCCCCATCTGTGAAATAGAAATTTTCATATTTTGTATATTAACAAGGACAAAATGAGCAGGTTTATATACAGTGCTTAGCACAGTGCCTGAATAAGTACTTAATAAATTAAACTACTACTTTATTATCATTCCTGTTTCTGATTCCTAGTTCCCTCCACTATAAAATGGGGCTATGCCGAGTCACTGTGCAGACTAGATGATCTAAAGAGATCAAGCTGCTGGGCAGCAGCCCCTCTCATTGACAGCCTTTCTTGTTACCATCACCTCCTTGAGCCAAGCTTAATGGCCCTGGACCCCTTCCCACCAGTCCCATCAAGCCAGCCACAAGGCCTTGGCCACACTGGGTACCTTGGCTAGGTGGCAAGGCAAGGCTCAGGAAGGGCAGCGGGTCCTTATCTGGGAGCAGCAAACATAAGGAGCTGAAGAGGACCATGAAGACGGCAACAGGCACTGTCCGGGGCCTGTCCCCAGCCAAGAAATCCACAGGGCTGGACGGAAGCAGGGACAGAATAGGAAGGAGTCACTCAGCCCCCTGCAGCCTCATTACCACAGGCTACATTCCATAAACCAGGGGATGGAGTCAGTCTCACTTTCCAGACAGGAAAACTGAGGGTCCTTCATTCATTCACTCCATCGATAATTGTGGAGTGCCTCCTGTCTACTGAGCTCTGAGCCCTGTGGCAAATGGCCTCAAGACACACATGCAGTGGGAACAGGCCATAGCGCTGCTTGCTCCACCCACCCTGGATGCTCCAGGAAACAGCTGCCCCCACACTGATCGGTCTGTCTGGGCTGGCAAGCCTTCAGAGAGCTCAGCGAGTCACAACATCCTTGTGTAACCGCCGCCGCCCTGGGCCGGGCGTGGACCCAGGGCAGAGGGTAGACAGCGGGCACGGCTATCCCAGGCTTCACCCCTCTGGGCTCAGGGCAGGCTGCTCAGACCTTCTGCTCCTCATTCCAGCTTGAGCTCAGGCTCTGAGAGCTCCATCCTGCTTCATTCCCCCACTTCCAACATCTCCACCCCCAGACAGGGCGATCTCTTTCCTGAGCCAACCGGAGATCCCAGGCTGATTCCTCACAACGCCAGTATAGCAGGACCCACCACAGTGGGCAGCCCAGATCTAGGGTGTGAGGCTGCCTACACTGGGCTCCACCTACCACCTCCCACAGCCCTTTGGTCTCTACCCTACTAGCCTGCGAAGTCCCATCTTCCTGGGGTGGTGCCTGTCCTGGGCTCTGGTTCCAGCCATAGGGACTAGAGGTTATTCCATACTAAATCTGCCTTTAAGCATCAGGGTCAAATGACACCCCTAAGGAAAGGGGAGAGTCGGGATGGTGCTGAAGTAGCCATGGTCAGTCCAGACACTGAGGGCCAGCAGAGAAGTCACAGCCTGGAGCTGCGTCCTGTAGTGCGCCTCTCTTCCTGGGGTCTGGGCTTGAATCCCCTCTCCCCATATCCTGGGCAGCAGGAACAGGTGGGCCTGAACAGATCCCTCCCCCACCCTCTGGGGTCCCTAAACTAAACATAGAGATGGGGTGAAATTCAACAAAGCCCCCAGGCTGTGAGATAGGGGTGACCCTGAGGCCAGACCTGGGTGTTTTTTTGTTTGTTTGTTTGTTTGTTTTTTTGCAGTTTTGGCTAGGGTCAGGCTTGAACCCGCCACCCCTGGTATATGGGGCCAGCACCCTACCCCTTGAGCCACAGGTGCTGCCCCCAAGACCAGGTTTTTAAGTACTTAATGAATCACCTGTCCTCCCAGAGTGGCCCTGTCAGCTGGGCCCCCTGAGTGGGGGTGCCCAGGCCATGATACCAACCTGGGCAGGCCTGGCCTGCCACGCCCACAGTCAGGCCAGAGCTGGCGGCGCCTCACTAGCATGGCCAGCAGCAGCAGTGCGAGGATCTGAAAGGAGAATGCAGAAGCGGGCTCAGGGTGCCCAGGCCTTCCCCAAGGGGGCTGAGTCTGAGGGCTTGGACTCAGACCCCAGGATACCCCCCATCTTCCCAATGCACACTTACATGTCATCTTGGGGACTGGTCAAGAGGTGGCAGATGTCTGGGAAGTTAGATTTGGCCTGCATCCTAGTTTGGGTTCCCACTGTGGGAGAACTCCCAGATTCCCCCTCCCAGGGGCTCCCAGGGTCCCCCGTCACCAGCCTCAGCAGGAAAATACAAGCCCCTCTGCTCACGCTGGAAGCAGGTTGCAAGTCAGGTTGGATTCAGGTTGGACTCACCGAAAGGGAGGCCAGGCAGGCATGGTGCAGGCCAGGGGGCACACTGGGGTGACAGGAGGGCACTGTCCTGCAGAGTAAGCAAAGGCCAGCTCAGGTCTACGTAGGGCCCCTTGGGTGCCCAGGTGGGTCTGAGGTCCAAGGCTGTCTACACTGAGGCTCAATCCTCAATCCTCTGAACCCTCTGATCTCTCCCACACCAGCCTGCCTCAGACCACTTTCTCAGGGCCATTTTGGAGCCCATTTTGGACATTTTCTCATGTCCCTATAGTGTGCTGGCCCCATGCTGAGCTATGGGGTTATAGGGTAATGAAGACAGGAGGCTCCGAGGGGATGCAGATTGAGACAACTAGGCCTGAATGTCTCTTTTTTGCTCACCCAGATGCTTCCCATCCTTAAAGACCCATTTCATTCCTCCCCCTCCAGGAATACTCCCAGACTGCTCTGACTTCACAGGTCTCTTCTCAGAACTGCAGTTAAGCATACACCTGGGTCAAGCAATCAAGTGATTGGTATCTAAGACTGGTCTGTGATTGAAATGATCTTCCCTCATCTCCCTCTTTTCTTATTTTCCTCTCATTAAGAGCCTTCATGTGCAGCTGGGCAGGCCGCACAACTGCCCAAGGATGCCTCCCCCCAACTGACGAGAATGGGTATGGTCTGAGACTTAGGCCACACTACTCACCGAGCCCTGTGCACCTACTGAGCTGAACATACTTAAATGCGAGTTTTTTTTCCTAGTTCTACAGAGGCAACCTATGTCCTGGCAGAGGTTCTGCTCTCGCCTTGGCTGAGCACAGAGGTAGGCCCATTGTGGACATGAGATCAGTGAGGACAATGAAGGCCTCAACTTCCCCGGCTGGGTCATATGGTAAAGAAAGGAGGTTAGCTCAGTGCTGGACCCAGGCCTGGGAGACCAGGCTGGACTGGGTCCCCAGGGAGGAGCAGACTTCCAGATTTGCCCAGCGTAAGCCTGGGAATTCCAGAGAGATGATGGCAGTGTGATCAAGGCCATAAGTTCTGGTGACAAGGGCCTAAGACAGGATCCCAAGCTACAGTCAGGCCCTGCGTGCCCAGGAGGCTCTGTCTGCCCACCTGGGCACCCTCCCACTGTGTGGAAGGGAGGAACCAAGGCTGCATCTTCCCCTCAGAGAGCTAGGCCCCTCAGCTGGGACAGCCCAGTCCCTCCTGTTTGCCGCTCTCTCAGGAAATCCCAGAGGGTGAGCAGTGGGAAAGAAACCAGTCACTTGGGCTTGTCCTTGGGGTGGGGGGGCAGAGTAAATCCTTTCTGTGGAACTTCTTGGCCAGGGCAGAGCTTGCCTCTCCCTCTCCTGGAGCAAAACTGAGGGTGGTGTCCATAGCTCAATGGGTAGGGTGCCGGCCACATACACCAAGGTTGGCAGGTTCAAATCAGGTCTGGGCCAGCTAAAATCAACAATGACAACTGCAACAAAAAAATAGCTGGGCATTGTGGCGGGCGCCTGCAGTCCCAGCTACTTGGGAGGCTGAGGCAAGAGAATTGCTTAAACCCAAGAGTTTGAGGTTGCTGTGAGCTGTGACACCACAGCACTATACCAAAGGTGACATAGTGAGACTCTGACTCAAAAAAAAAAAAACCAACTTAACAGTTCTTTGGGCAGCGCCCATAGCTCAGTGGGCAGGGCACCTGCCACATACACCAAGGGTGGCAGGTTCGAACCCGGAGCAAAACTGGGCTCATGGATGGAGTAGGTGCCACATAGGGGTTCAGGTTCCCTCTGCCTGGGCTCAGGCCTCACACTCTCCACTTCCAACTCTGAGGCCTCTCATCATGAGGTGTGTGGCAGGGTCTGGGCTCCTCTCTCAGGCTGCATCCCCTCTCAGCCTGCATATCACATAATACGCCCTGCTCCTCCCTATAACCCTGGGCCCAGCCTGGTTAGGGACTTGGTAAACTGTCCCTGGGAGCAAATGTCCCAGTTGACCATTTTTCTGGGGCCCTCACACCCAAACCAGGAGCCACCTCTGGGTATTTCCTCCACTGCCCTATCTGGGGGAACCTCTGGCCCTTTCTGTACCACCTGAGGTCTCCGTCTGGCCCCTCAGCTCAGTGTGTCCATTCCATGAGCAAATGTTTGGTTGATGGCTCATGGACATGTTTTGTGCTGTAGAACATGCATGAAGGTACAGTCACAAAGAACAACATGGGGGAGGGCAGTGGGCTCCTTCCCAACACCCACAGGCAGGTGCTACAGGATGCAGAGGAAGGAGAGGAACTTTGGGCACCTGATTAGAGCATCTCTTTAGACAAAAAAGGGGAAAGGCATCTCCATGAAGTGGAAAGAGCAGGAGGAAGTAGAGAGGTAGATGGCAGGCAGCGTGGCTGGGACCAGGTCAGGCTTCTAGTCTGAGTGCAGCCCGGAGGTCAGGTGAGACCAGATTACAACAGGCATAGGAGGCCCTAGGAGGCCACTGAGGGTGTTTGAGCTATTGAGTGCTCTGAATTTTAGAAAATTTCTGTGGCTGAGTCTGTCCTGGCTACTGTCATCAGTGCCTGCCCACCCCAGCTCTGGCCTGACAATGGTGGAGCACGCTGAGGCGCAGCTGAGAGCTCCGGAACTCCTCAAAGCTTTGATGCACCACATCCCTCAGATGTCTGACTCACAGAGGGAGAGGTGAGTCCAAGTTCATCTCCTTGGGATTTCCCTGAATTCCTAGCTTCCTACTCCCACCTTTGGAGCCAGGAGGATGGCTGGTGGTTTGACTTGATTTGGCTAAGTAAATAGATTCAAACAAATGTCTTCATCCTTACAGGTGCCATGCCCTGCAGTGAGAGAAGAGAGCTACAAATTCTAGATGCCACCCACATTAGGGATAGCACTTCCCATCACCAAGTCCCTGCCACGCACGCAAATGCATTCTGACATGGTATCTGAATAGCCCAGCTACAGAGCTGGCTGCAGGCACCTGGCTCCCAGCCAGTGCCCCAGCCTGAGGCTCCCAAGGTCACAGCTTCAGATTAGGGCCATAACCTAGGTTAGGATCTTCGTCCTCATGGGGTTCCTGGCCCATCCCCACTCTGCTCCCTTCCAGCTCGTATAAACACAGAAAGGACACAGGGAGCTCATGGGCACTCAAGGTCAGCCAGGGAAGATGAGTGGGGAGCACTCCCTTGCTGGCAGCAGTCTGTTTTCCAGGTGGTCAGAGCCCTGAGTCCTCCAAACAACAGCTCCTTCCCTCAGGCCTGGGTGGGGCCTCCATCCCTGCAGGGTGACCCAAGCCCAGCCAGACTGCAGCCCCAGCCCCTGGGGAGGCACGCAAGAATTTTTCCTTCTCCAGTTTCGGGTTTTGATGGAGAACAGATGTGCATACATCTGGTTCAACAACCCCCCAGCCTCACCTTTCCAGTTCCTCAAACCCTCAGACAGAGCAGAGAGGCCCAAGATGGGGCCTGGGTCAGAAACAATGGGATAGAACAGAGCTGGGGGTCCCAGGCATGCAAGGGGTCTTGGCAGCAGGTTGGGGGCTATGGAAAGGCCCAGCTACCTTGCTAGCATGCCCAGACCAAACAAAGGTAGAAAGTTCTGGGCAAAGCAGCTATGGCCGGGTCCCCAGGTCCCCTCCTTCCCCTGGGGTGGCCCGAGTACTCTTGCTAAAGACAGCAGGCCCTCCTCATCCTCCTGGAAACTCTGAAACCCTAAAAACAAGAGCCATGCTTTCTTCCACCAGTTCTCTGCCTGCACCCACCACACTCCTCAGGGTGCCCAGAGAACCCGCCACACCCCGAATGATCACCACAGAGACCAGTAACACCTCAAAGGCAGGCCCACTTCCCTCAACTCCCCCAGCTTTCCCCATCCTGGCTATGGGCCTGGATCATCCAGGGTGCCACACAGACCTGCTGGATCTGAATCTGCAAAGACAAAGCCCAGGGATCTGTATTTTCAACACAGCACACAGGTGCTTTGTAAGTGACCAGCGAGGCCCAGGTCTCCCATCTCAAGCATCTCAACAGCAAGGAGAGGGCTGTTACTGTCATGTAACAGATATGGAGACTGAAGCCCAGAGAGGATGTGACTTGCTCAGGATCACACAGCAAATGAGTGACAGAGCCAGTCTTAGCAGCCCTTGCCCTCCCCCAGTGGTAACCTCTGCCACACCCCACTCTGGTGGCCACAGAGTTGGGGCCTCCACACTCACCCGTCTGGCTGGAGCCCCTCATCCCCCTGGGGCTCATCGATGTACCAATTGTCCTCGAAGTCGCCTGTGGAGGAGGTCTGGTTCCCGGCTGCCTGGGAGGACATTTTCAGTCCTTCTCCTTTGACCCCTAGATGAGAGAGAGAGAGAGAAAAAAAACCTCTACAGATGTGAAAAGAGGATTAAAAGTAAAAAAAAAAAGAAAGAAAGAAAACCCAAACAAAGAAACATTTCTCTTTAATCCTAAAGGTTACTTTCTTGCTTTTAGTTCTCTGGAAAAAGCCCGACTGGGACTGAGATCCCAGGCAGGCTGGCACGGAGGAGGGGAAGGGCCTCTCGTGTCCCCTCCCGTCCCATCCTGCCCAATCTCGCCTGGTCCTGCAGAGAGAGCTATCCTCTCGGGGATTGTGCACACCCCCTCTGTGTCCCTGGGGTCTTGCTGGAACTTCTGTCTGCCTGACCAGCTACCAACCAGGCCTTTGTTCAAAGGACCATTTTCAAAGGTTTGCCCAGTCTGAGCCCTCCACAGAGACCTTCCCTTCCTTTCCCCTCCCCAAGCCCACCTAGACGGACCCACAGACACAGAAGGGAGGACCAGAGAGGAAGGCTCTGTAAAGATGAAAGGGTGGGCGGGCCACGGTCAGTTCTGCATGGCCTGCCCTCCCTGCTGGCTCCTGCCCCTCCCCACTCTCTGGGGTCCTGCCCAAGCCCCCACTTTGTTCAGGCTCCCTTGAGTCCCTCCCCCAGCCTCAGCCTACCCCTCTGGGGCCCCAAGTCTATTGGCAGCTGAGCCCTGGAGGGTGTGGCCAGGAGGCACCAGCACCTGGCTTCACACACATACCTGCCTCCAGCGCCTGCTTTGGGGCACATGGGCAGTGTCCCCACATCTGCAGTGCCCCAGCATTGTGGTAACCCAAAGGAGATAGACCACCGCAGTGGGCTGGGTACAGAAACAGGGACAGGGAGTCTGTCCATTCCTCCTCCTGTGGCTTCCATGAAGGAGGCAACATGTGTCTCACTAGAAACCCTTTCTGTTCCTACAACTTGATTTCACAAGGCGATAACTCACCCCTGGGAGGCGGATGTTCTTTAAACACGAACCAGACCCATGGGTAGGCTGAGGAGCCCCGCCTGCCTCCTCCTCCTCCTAGAGTGTGGGGGAGGGGTGAAGGTTCCTCCTCATCCTCCCTCCCCTTGGGAGCCAGGCCAGACCCCTGGCTCTGCCTGTTAGCGCTCCCTGGACCCAGCACAGAAGGAGCAAGGTGCAGAATAAAACAGAGCTGTTCTCAGCCTGTAGCCCTGGGGGGAGGCTCAGGCCCCCTGAAACTTGAAGGGTCTCTATCCTTCAAGCTCCACAAAGGGTTTGGGTCATGGCCCTACCCAGCTAAGACATTCATTCAACAACTTTTCTGAAAAGACATTCATTCACTTATTCAGTTAACATAAATGCCTACTATGTGCCAGCACTGTTCTGGGCCCTGGGACCTGAGGGATTCCAGTTTGGTGTGTGTGGGTGGAGCAGAGGCAACAAGTCAATAGCCTGAGGGTTACATGGGCCCTGGGTGATGTGGGAAACTGAACTGGGATGGAGAGAACTGGTTGTGGGTGCTGGCTTGGAGGTTGGGGAGGGATTCCTGAAGAAGATAATCTTGCAGTGACGGTCTGCAGCACAGGGACAAGTCAGCTGAGCACGGGACGTGGTGGGCTAGTGGGGGCATGGGGGGAAGTGTGTGTCCAGCAGAGGGAACAGAACAGGCAAAGTCTCAGGGTAAACAGGGCTTGAAATCCTAAAGGCTCTATGTCCACACTCCTTAGCCAGGCCCACAGGGCAGGTTTAGGGACTGAGGGCTGTCAGCCTTAGTCCCTCCCACTCCTTCCCAAACGGCTCCTCTTCCAGGAAGAGGGCTCTGGCCCCCGCCCCCATCCCACAGAGGTGTCAGTGTCTACTGACTCAGAGCTGAACCTGAACTTTATTTGATATAATGGAGAAGCCCACAGTGGGCCCTCTGATCCCTGGGATTTGGGGTAAGATTTGCCTCTCAGGCCTGGGTGGGAGCTCCCTGAGGGCAGAAGTCTGGCCCTTCCTCCTCTCTTCCCTCTTTCCCCTGATGCACAGTGTGTGGCCCTAGGATCAGAGTGACTTTGGAAACTGAGTTTGGCAAAGCCATTGACTGTTGTGGTAGCTGCCATTGATTATTATGGTAGCTGTCGTTCATCCCTGGGCATGTCCCTGTCCCACACAGGCTGCGCTGTCCCCTGGGCTTCACCAGCTGGGCTTCGGAGACCTCAGAACCATTCACTGCTTGGAGGTCCTAGACCTTTACCGCAGGGAGCAACAAACTCCTATGTGATTTCAAATCTCCTCATGATAACAATGGGAGTCCTGTTCCAGACAGGGAGCTCACCCTTCTACCAAGCAGAGAGGTGTGTGGTGGGTCTCTTGGCCTATCAGAAACCATGTACTTGCTTGGAAGGAGCTTAACTGCCTCCCTCGGGTTGCTTTGTTCCTTTATTCATTCAACAAATGCTCCCTGCACACTGATTCCATGCCAGGAGGGCCCTACACGCTGACAGTGCAGCAACAAGCAGGGTCCTGCACCTCATGGGGCTTAATATGCAGCAGGGTAGACAAAACAAGTGTCATGAGTGCTGAGAAGGAAAAAAGTAGAGGAAGAGAAGACAGGCACGCAGGAGTTGTTTTAGACATGGTAGTAAGGGAAGCCTTCACTGAGGACATATTACTTGTAAGAGAGGGAAGTTCTCGGCTTGGCGCCTGTGGCTCAAGTGCCTAAGGCACCAGCCACATACACCTAAGGTGGTGGGTTCGAATCCAGCCCGGACCTGCCAAACAACAATGACAGCTGCAACCAAAAAATAGCCAGGCATTGTGGCGGGCGCCTGTGGTCCCAGCTACTT